TAACTTCGAATTTAATTATCTTGCAATTAGTCGTATAAACTTCTTCTTTTAGTTTCACTCAGAAATAAAAATCTAATGAGTTGAAAACAACAATAATTCTTATGCGGTTTACGTGATTTTTTTCTTCATTTTGACATACATAATATATTTTACAACTCTCTAAAAAAAAATACATCCTTTCACGACGAGTAAACATTTTCTACAAACCCCTCCCCCTTCCGGTTCCCTTAGCAAACCACGACCCTCATCAGAAACTTTGATTTCTTATTTTTATTTTCACCGAAAAAAAAGAGAAAAAAGAAAAAAACTACTGAAAACTTACGTAAGTTTTCATTTTAGAATGACGAATGGAAAGGGGGTAGAAGGAAGGGTTGAATGAAAAAAAAAAAGAAAAAAAAGAGATCGATTCCCTCATGTTTCGTCGTTTTTTCTTCTTATTCTTCGACACGATCATTCTTTTTATTTTGCATTTGTATCATACCGAAGTAACGATCGGAAATGGGGACGTACTGCAAGAGTACATGGTGCGGACAAAAGAAAACATAATTTTCTAGGCGGGACGAACCATACGAAGAAAAGGTAAATACTTACTTACGTTAATAATTGAATAGGATGTAAATGTGTGTCAGGTAGACGCGACGTGCAAGTCAATTATTTGTACACATTGAAAAAAGGTTAACAAATCACGGACTAGCGAAAAAATAAATTCATTCGAAAGAAAAAACACACCTTTCGTGTGTTTAGTATTTTAACGCAAAAAAAAAAAGAAAAAGAAAAGAAATTTATATAGAAAAAAGAAATAAAATAATAGTACGATTAAATTCATAAGGGATATTATTGTTTTATAACCTACACCTACTTATATCAGCATTCTTATATGATATATCTGTATACGCGAATCCACACAAGCACGAATACATGTATAAAAGTCTCGCTAATTACCCGCATTTTAGTTAAGTGTATTTATCGTCGAAAACACCTTAGACTAAGAACGTACAGTAAAACAAACAAGACATGGTCGCATAACGTCGAGCCAAGGCACAATAATCGTTGTAAGAATCTGTTAGCTCGTAAAAAAAAAGTCATTTATGTTAGTCGTTATCCTTCATTCGATACGCATAAAACTAAAGATACGACTCGTGCTACGTAATTTCACACTTTAGTAGCCGACACTTCTAAGATGGGGGCACCACATATAGCTTTTTTTTCTTTGTTTTTAATCTATAATACATAATTTGACCATTTTTAATTGGTATAAAGTATATATCGTATAAAACATCATTATTTCAAATATAATATTATTATAAATATTAATCTAGAATTTTTATAAAAATATATATATTGATAATAGTAATAACGTAAAGGAAAAAATTCAATCTAAGTTTGATAAATTTCAATATTTTCATCTAACACATATATACGAATAGTAAGGAAAGATTGAAAAGCGTATTGATAGAGAAAAAGGGTCGTTTTTAAAATGAAGATTGTTAAAAGATCGCGTGAAAATCAAATTAAACTCAGCATTAATCGTTCGTCCTCTCGCATTTAGCTACTTTATCGCGTTAAGTTACTATACCGCTTGGAAATGATGAAAAGTAAGGACTTAGGGTATACTACTCTTCCTAGGTCTCCCTACCTTTTCCCTATTAGTAATTAGCACGCAACACCACGTTATTTCCCCCCTTGGTGGCTCGTGGCACGCCGGGTTGGCGCGTGTCGTGCCGGAAACTCGCTTAGTGCGCCGCAAACAGACCGTTTCTCATCGTACATAAGCTTTTTCCGTTCGTTCTCAGGAGAAAATGTGCTCTTCCCGCAGCAGCTGATTAAATCTACACTAAATTTCTATCATAATAGATCTCATTAAATATATCATATTTATAAAACATTTTATTTTTACACTAATTATTTATACGTATTCAATACAATTCGATTTGGTTTCTTTTATATTTCGACTTTTCCACGCGGTTTTGTCAAGAAAGAGAATTTGTTATTAAAATAAAGTAGAAAATTATTTATTTATATTATATATATTTGTATTTTTGTGTATGTAACGTTAGTTCGTATTATTTATTTTTCCCGTTTTTATATATAAATACTCTAATTAAATTTGTTTTCGCGAAGAAAATTATTGAAGATAACGATAACGGTGACTTCAAGAAAATTGTTTGTTTTTTAATTATCGATAAAAATTTGTTTGTTATTGATAGTTAAAATGAAAAATAACAAAAACAAAAAAGAAATGTCAAATCTTAAGGACTCGAAGCTTTCAATAGTTTTTCACGAATAATCGGGTACCGTGTTCGAAAATTACGATAATAAAGAAAGTTATTTTAATTGATGAGTTTTATTTTTGATAAATAAAGCAAAATTTTATAATCGAAATGACATAATATTCGTACGAATTTCATGGGAGTTTCATTCGGATAGCGTCAGCTGTTGGGCGAACGTCAGACGTCAGACGTCATACTCGCATCAATAAAGACATGTGTCCGATTCGTATATAACCGTTATTAGGACATTGTGCGATGCATGACACACGCGTGATCTTCCCTGTAACTATGCGTACGTTACATTACCTAAAATATATTACTAGTATATATATATATATATATATATATATACAAAGAGGGAAGTTAGTAGCATACTTTGTGGCCACGTGATATCAAACTTCCTAGCTCGTTCCCGGAAGGAAGAGATTTGGGGAACCCTATGGTTCTACTTATCAACGATCGATATCACTTTCCTTCCATTAGAATTATTATTATTATTATTATTGGTCAAAAGAAAGTACACTCAACTGTATTAAAAAGAAAGCAAATATAAATCGTAACAAATCAGGGGAATAGAAACTTCGAAACTTTGTTATAAGTTGTAACAATATTTTTAATTAGGGTTGAATATTTGTTACCATTGTTACATTTATTCTTTAAAGCCGAATTTTGTATTTTTCGCAATAAGTAAATCTGAATTTTGTGTTCATTTTTTTTTTATAATATATTTTAATAGAATTTTTCTAGTTTAAAGATTTCGTAAGTTTACGAAAACCCCATGTATTGTCAATGGTATTGTATTATACTTGCGTGCTATAGATTGATTTTGCTTTGTTGAGACTCCGATAATTCATTTGTTCCAATTAAATGGATTAAGTAGAAATTAACCCCCGATGTCGTGGAAAGCTTAAACGTTATTCGATGATAGAAATCTAATTATAAGCGAAGGAGTTTGTACAGAAGGGCTGCCAGTTGGTAAAAGTAATAGGGTGCTTGAATTATAAAGGTAACGATAGTGTTCTTACGATTTAACCTTAATCTTCTTCGCATGGTAACGCAATTAAAACCACTTGAAAAAGACAAGAGAATTTATCCAACAAACATTAGCATCTTTTCTCGATAAATTTCTAATGTGAAAATTAATTATTTTAAATTAATTGAAATGTGTAAATTTGATTTTTCGTTCGATCGGATAGTTTGTCTTTTTTTGTTTGCTTTTAGTATAAAATTATTTTGCATTATTACAATGAGAAAACATTTTATAAAGAGATTTGTTTTTTTAAGTATCATCCCCATAAAAGCAAATTCATGTTTTTCACAGTGTCAGGACTTTCGTAGAAGAAAAATATCGACCTGACAGTCATGTCATACCGTACCACGTAACATAGTGCGTGATTCGTTCACATGCTAGGACAGACAGAAAAGAGGCTATGCAGACAACGACGACTATGGTGCTACCATCGCAAATCTAAACATCCAATTAAAATATATCGATATTCATAGACGGTTTTTCTTTCACACTTGTTAATTACAATGTTAAATCGATAATCGTACAAAAATCCACCATATTTCTCGTTTACATTATTTAACCAATTCAATCAATGCCAATTTACAAATCGTATTTCATCCCCTTTTAATTTCGATTAAAATTATAACTTAAAATATCGTCGAATTGTGTACGAAAAGAAATATAAATTATTCCAATCCCGTTTTCAAATGAATTTGAAAATAATTAAGAAAAGAAAAAGAACAAAAAGAGAAAAAATAATGTATTTCTAAATAAAACACATATTTCAATTAAAGACGTATTTACGAAACTTTGTTAAGTTGTTGTCGATATATTTTGATAGGGAAAAAAAAAATAAAAAGAAAACGATTAAAGAAAAATATCCTTTTATCTCTCATTTCTTCCTTGGTCGTCATGAAATGCACGACTTATGTTGAAACATTTCGTCGATCGTAGGGCAACAATAGGAACACTGAATAATGTAAGGTAGTGGCAACAAGCGGGCTTCGTAAATAATTCGTAAACTGTTTCTAGCGACTCCGATCGTCTTGAACTTTGTCGTTGGGCTCGTGTCTACGACAAGCGCGAGGGGGGTAGGGGGAGGTGATGGTGGTGGTGATGGTGGTAGTGATACTTTGGATACCCCGAAAACAATGAGCAATAAAAAGAACGAAAATGGAGAAGCTACTCTACGATCGAACTTAAGTTCGAAGAGAATAGTTTGCTGCTTTTGTCTTGTTACAAAACTGTTTGGAATTATTAAATACAACTCGGACGATAGATACTACGTACGTGTACGTGTGTGTACTTATATGTGTGATCAAATATGTACGTGTGTAATGTCGTGCGTGTTAAAGTATCGACCAAAGAGTAGTAAGCTTTCGATAGAAAAAGCTTTCTAAGCTCGATGAATATTAATTGATAAATTATCCATAACTCTTATCGTTTAAAAAAGTTTTCTCCCCCTTTAACGATAACGTTTAATAATTTTGTATTATTGTATTATTAAGTTTTTTTTTTCTTACAATTATATATTCCGTATAAATGTATATTATATTTATTACTATTATTATTAATAATATTGATTTATATTCACTTATTAATTCATTTTAGAACATTAATCTATCTAATGAATACACATACACACACACAAAAAGGCGCGCGATGTTAAGGGAAATTATTATTGATTTTCATTTTGATGAAAAGGGACATGCAATACTTACCGGTATGAATGTATGTGTGTTTCTTCATATCCGATTTTTGGTGAAACCTTTTGCCGCAATATTGACAGGGGTAGGGTCTCGTGTCAGAATGAATTAGAAGGTGAGTGCTGAGCGTGCTCGATCGTTTGAATGCCTTCCCGCATTGTTTGCACTGTAACAAGGATTTCGTGGTTTCTCGGGTTAATACTTTATTCTAAAAGTATGTTCAAGTTGTTTTCTTTTATCGTATATTTTCTAAGAACAAGTAATCTTCCTCTTATTTGAATATCATAAGAAAAGGGATAAAAAAAAAAAAAAAAGGAAAAAGAAACAATCTATGTATTCGTAACTAGGACAACCCTTAGGTAGATATTAATCCAAAGGACAGGAATTGCGTGCCAAAGTAAGGATGCAATTATACCTTTTGTCGACTCCATCCCTTTGTTCTCTCTCTCTCTCTCTATCTCTTATTTCAATTGAAGAAGAAATTAAATATTCAAATAGAATGAACTTCCGTTTTCTTTGTATTCTATTTCCTTCATTGCCACTTGTCGGACATCCGACAAAAATCCCTCAACGACCCAGTTTTAACGTGCATTTATGCATATTCAAAACCTATATTTTCTGTTTCTCATTTTTTCTTTCAACAAATCTTCAGTGCGAGAAAAAGAATGATCAGAATAAAGCCAAATAAATAAAAAAATAAGTAAGAGTAGTTGGTACTTAAGTAAGCGTAAGTAAAGACCTTTGGAGTTGTAAGATGAAACCGATCAAGTCAGTGAAGGAAAGAAGAGAAGAGAAGAGAAGAGAAGAAAAAGATAAAAGAAAAAGAAAAAGAGAAAAAAAATAAAAGGAAAGGAAGAAGGCACCTTAAAAGAGGGCTGCACTGTGCTGCGCTATACACTGCGCTGCACTGCGCTGCGCTGTAATACACCGCGTCGGGACGACCGACGCACCTGTGTTCATTTTATCTTCCTCGACTCATTGTAGTGAAGGCGCCAGTCGTCACAATGCTACAAGCAACACGCCGTGTCTCTTTCCGGACAATATATGTACATATGTATTTATGTAGGTTTGTAAGTAGCTTGGATAGGGAATCGTTCCTACAACGTATCCAACTTAAAATACTACTTTTGTATAGAATAATATTCGTTCTGCTTTAATTTTTGTCTTTTTCTTTTTCTTTTTTCCAATCATCCCAAAACCAAATTTTCTTATTTATATTCATTTCGTTGTTAATTTTCAATAAAAAAAAAAGAATATCCGTTAATATTTTCCATATTTTAACGAGAAAATTTGATCAAATACTTTAAAGGAAAAATGTCTTTACTGATATATCATATTTTTCGGATTTAACTACGTTAACCGTTTCAATGGTAAACCTGTACTACTGCGTCAACTTGTATATACTAACATTTTTCTTTTTTTCTTCTTTTTTCTTAATTTTCATATCATTATTATTACTTTTCAAGGAAATTCTAAGAGTTTTTTTGTCCAACATACAAAATTATTCTAAATACATTATATTAGGGTGTACCAAAAGTGCGTGCCTTTGAAAATTAATATTTTCAAAGTAAATTTTAACAAGAACAATCCGTTATGCAGTTTCAATATAAAATCCGTTTGATGAAACGCACGAATTTTTAATTCACCCTAATATTTCTAATTGTATTACGTTAACATATTACATTTTCATTTACTACAATTAAAACTATATATTCGGATTCTTCTTACATTTATCGTTGATATTTCATTTCTTCGATTTTGAAAAACAAAAATACATTAGAAACTTTTAAGAAAGAAGAATAACCGAAAAACCCCGATATTTATTTTTCGGACGTCGTTGCGTTAAGATTTCGGTGCGGTAAAACAGAGCGGCATTGAGTCAGCCCCCTTTTTTGATCGCCCACCGGCGCAAATACATTCCCGGTGCAAATGCACACGCGAGACGAGAGTCGTCCTGTATCGTCGGATAATGCTCAAGTGAAACACCAAAACCCGTTCTCGCGTGTCCCCGTGGGACGCGTTGTCGAACGTGAAATGACTCGTAAAGGGGGGAGGGGGGACGGTGGGAAGGGTGAAGGGGTAGGGAGTGTCCCCGATCTTGATCGTGTTGCTTTCATGTGTGGCCCGACGAAAGAAAGTATAAATAAAATAATGACAAAAAGGTATAGAGAACAAAAAATCCTCGCTAAAAGAATTAAAAAAAAATGGATAAAGCCGGTTACGATGAAAACCATCAAAGTGTCTCCAACAAAAAATCCCTTTTAACATCGAAACTTTATCTCTTAACGATATATTTTTGTAATACTTATAATATTATTTGAAAAATTATTCTAAAAACAATTGCACCGAAGCGACGTTAATTTTGTTTGAAAAGAAAACAATTCGTCGTTAAAAATTCGTATTGATTTGTTCGTAATATCTATAATAATTATTATGACAATTAAACAATTATGTATCGAATGATGAAGGAATAGTATTATTATGTACGGTATCGATAACGGTTGAACTTTTTCTTTCTTTCTTTCATTCTGTTTCTTTTTTTTTTGTCATTCGTAAGAGAAAAAAGGGAGGAAATTAAATACCTGGGTCGTTAAGGTGAAAACGTTCCTCCCGTTTGTAGATCATCGGCTATTAGGTGATGAACGGGGCCAGGGGTCAAGATTAGAGTGAGGAAAGAGTTAGGAAAGAGTGAGAAAAGAGGAAGGACGAAGGAGGTAAAAGGGAGAGATCGTTAATAAGCACCGCGGCACTTCGTTCAAGAGTCGCAAAGGAAGCGGTGGATTGTGGGAATGAAAGCGGGTAAGGAGTGGAGCACGCCATTGTCGTAACACGAAAGTGCTAACTTCCGGTGGCGCTTCAAGACAAAAGGAAAACGCAAGACGTCCGCAAACGTTACGAGATGCTACTGTAACTGTTACTGTTACTGCAGTTCTTGTTGTTGTTGTTGTTGTTGTTGTCGTTATTACTTGACCGAGACTTTCCCCAATTGACATCGATACGCGAATCATCTAATAAATTTGATTTTAATTTCATTTCTTTTTTCTTCTCTCTTTCATATACTTATTTCTTTATTGTATAATATTTTGAATTAGAAATAAAAGTGAACATTTTCGAATGCATAGATATTTGTTGGCAAATTGAAAATAATATGAACGTAAAGTAATTTTATTTATCAAGTACCCTACGAAAAAAATTTCTATCAAGTTTGGATTTCCATTTGTAAAATAATCTTTCGTTATAATCCTTAATATAAGAAATGGAATTCAGTGTGTATCCGAAAAATACTATTTATTAAATCTCATCTTTTTACTCTCCCTTTTTCTTTACGAATATCTTCTCACGCTTATTCAATACTAACAAAGAAGTCTTTTTATCAAAGAGATTAATTCAACTCTCATATTTGTGGGGGAACGATAACAAAAATAAATATATTTAAAAAAAAAAATAGCAATTTTGGAAGAAAAAAATAAAAAGTTTCTCTCAAACAATGCGATAAAAGTTAGCTCTGTTGAAGTTGTTGGAATTGATCGGTATCAGCAAAAGGTTTCCGTGTAACTCTACACGGCAACTTGGTTTGGAAAAATAAAAATCAGTCCTCCGAAATAAAAACTACGTGACGCGTCTGGCCCGCATATCCTAATATGTCCGCATTACAGTTACGTGTCGGACGTAAAACCACTGCTGAGAGAGTTTGAGCTACCATCGAATCGCACGTAATTACGACGTAGCCTCTTACCGATCACCGATACGTACTTACTTATGTATATACCTATATATATATATATATATACGTATGTAATACGTCAAAACATTTGACCCGTTTCCTCGGCACCACCAACTACTCCTGGGGGGTACTTATATACTTTCGCAGGAATTTCAGATCGCGTGACTCTTCAAAATCGGCATAATCAAAGACACATTCGTCGTTTATTCTTTTCACCACGAAATCGCGAATTTTCATTTGGTTATGTTTTTTTCTTTTCTTTTTTTTTTCTTTTTTTTTTTTGTTTATACGTTCAACAAAAGTAAAATGATAAAAAAGAAAACTAAAGGAAGGTTATAACTATCGAAAAATTGAATATTGTCAGTAATTTTCTCTTATAATATAGCGTATTTTATAATCCTCGTTATTTGTATTTATCATATTAACAGTTAACAAACGAGATATAAAATGATTCGTAAGATCGTTTATTCTTAAAATCAATGTGTTTCGTTTAAAAGATTCTTTAAAAAGAAAAAGTTCATATCGTAAGATGTTAACTTGCTCGTACGCGATCGTATATATATATATATATACGATTTCTCATGGGTCTTGCAAATTGATCGTAAAAAGAATCAGGTAGGTCGATTAACTTGGGCAAATCGGCGTCGCAATGGTGTCTTGATTTTTTTTCTGTTGCAAAGAAGGACGACGTTGAACGTTTAAAAAGATCGAAAGAGTCGATTGGAAGAAGAACGTGCACGCGTACGCCTTCACGCATACATATGTCCTACTACGACGCCGAGGGTCTTGATCTTCGATCTTCTTCGAAAAAGATCCGCGATTGCTCTTACGAAGGAAAAAAGATGAAAGAAGGAAAATAAAGAAGGAAGGAAGGAAGGAAGGAAGAAAGGAATCGCGCGTTCGAATTGGATGGAAATCGAACGTTGTTGCTTTTTACGTTCACGCAAAATAAGAGTATGCCGATAAAAGTCTACACACGAGCTCGTAAAATCCACGTTCGTACGGTAAACCCACGCACGAGCCACCTGAAGGTGCACATTGACTATAAAGAGAGAGAGAGAGAGAGAGAATATGTTTGTGTGTGTGTATGTGTCATGAAAGGTAGCTTCGAGATTTCCAAGACCGATACCACTCGACTTCCTCGAAGGCCTATCGTTGATCTTTGGTGCTCAACGATTCGCGCTTCTCGACGAGGACAATGTTCATTTTTCTGATCCAGTTAAGTTACGACACTCCGAAAATCCTATCGTTTTTATTTCCGTAATAGTCAATACAATTTATTTTCTAATTAACATATTATTTTTATTCGTTGTTGCAATTATCGGTATCATCATACATTTTGTAAATTTGTAATATTTTCAATTTATGAATTAAAATTCGTTTATATGAAATTAGGTATTTATATATGATCTGACTCACCTGAAAGCTTCTTTCGGACGACGATGGTGGGGTGAGAGGTGAATGATGAATTTGTCTATTGATAATTGAAGTAGCCAAAGGATTCCTAGAAGATGGTGCTTTCGTTTCTCTAGCCTCTCTTTCGCAAACCGAACCAGGTGACCAAATTTCATTCTTCCTAGTGATATTAGATGATACATCGTTTGGTTTAGTGCTAAGATTCAATGGTACTTCTTCCTCTGAAACATATCACGTCGATCGAAATTAGGCGCAAGCTTAAATATTTACAACAACAAATTTTTAATATTTCCTCTTTGACTGCGTTATTTAACAAGAAAAACAAAACAAACAAAAATTACGCGTACTCGTGATTAAAAATAAAAATTACCGCGTGGTGATTAGTTTTTCCTCAAATGATAGTGCAATCTTTTAGAAAAAAAAAAAAAAAGAAAAAAAACTGTAGTATAAACGAGTCACTAACAAACAAGAAAATTTGCTCTGCTTTGCGTCACATTTCCTCTTCCCCCTCCTTCTCCTTCTCCTCTTTGTTTTATATTAGCACGAATGTTCGAACAAACGAGTAAGGAAAAAAATAATGAGAGAGTGCTGGCCGTTTATTCTTATCTCAAGTTCGGTACTTAACTATTTGCTATTTTTTAAAGAGTCACCGTAAACACGTTATAATGTGTCAGATATGTATTTTTAAAAACATTTTTTTTTCCTATATTCGGTCTGAATGGCCAAAATTTTCGGAACACATTATGAATGAAAACAATAACAACAATAATAAATACGACGCTGGTCATCAAGTCATATAGATTAAATAAAAAACATAATTTGAAAAATTCATCTATTACGATTTATATTATATATTCAATTATTCATATATTTCAAGTAACATTGGTAATATTTCATAATTACTGGTACACGTATATTGTAAGAAGAACGTTGAGAATTTAATTGTAAATGAATATTAATTAAATTTAATTAATGACATACTCTCTTGAAAATACTCGTAATTCGATATTGATTTATTAATAATAATAAAGAGAAAACAATATTCTTTTAATAATAAAATTTGTCGGTAAGCGTGAAAAGACGGGCAAAAATAAAAATGTAATATCGCATAGTCAGTTTTAAAGAACATTATCGAAAAATAGTAATTGGTGACTTGAAAGAACCTCGTCGATATTGTGTAAACGTATATACATATACGTATACACATATACATACACTCAAGGAAAAAATAATGCTTTTAAAACGGTAACAGCTGCACGATTAACTTTTGTTTTAGCCTTCTTTGCCGATCGTCTACGACCAATTCGTAAGCTATTTACGAGCTTACGTTTCTTACAGAATTGTCCTAGTATAATATATATTGTCTGCTTATCCGATTCCTCGTAATCACGCGAACGATAGCTAGAAACCGTGTTGTCGTTATATCATACGTATTAATTATTCCTACCATTTTAAATAATCCTAACAGAATTTCAACAAATAATGCGCAACAAAATTTTAAATTCTACGAAAATAATCATCGTTCTGGTCTAAAAGATTAAAATTTAATCACCCGATTGTGCACTTACTATTTATTTAACTTGAATATTTTTTTTACGCTTGCTTGAAAAAACTATAAATTTTCTTTTTATTATAAATAAATTATAATCAATCGTAAAATCTTAAAGCAAGGATAAGAGACAATATTTACAATCTATAAGAATATATCAAAAAAATTTGTCGATAAGGCAAACAAATTATTGTATGAAACAATTTGATAATAATTATTCATAATAAAATGAATCATTATATTTTTATAATATCTCTTACCAATTGGTACTTTTTCAATGGCGCATCTCGGTGATCCCGGTTTGACTGGGCTAAGAGGTTCCGGATGAATGGGCGAACAATTGGCAACCGGTGTTGTCTGTTGAGCTGGAATTCTTAACGGCGGCAGAAGGGAATGCGGCAACAGAAGGCCTACGTTTCGGGCCCACCAAGTGGTCCCGGACGTCGCGTAACCGCTGTACATCAGGCCGCAACGCATCTCTAAAATAAGAATGCATTTTTTTTTCATTCTCTTTTTTTGATGTTACCTCGAACGAATATTCTATCGAGAAAATATAAATTCATTCTTAGACTAACGCACATTTAGGGTGTAACTAAAAATAGATCATTTAATTATCATCGTTTAATATTTTCGCGCAATAAAAACTATCAAACTTTACGTTAATCTCTTAAATATTACACGTTTAATTAATATTTCATTTGATTTTTTCTTATCTATATAAATGATATATACCGACAAATATAAATATTTAATTATTTATACAATTATAAAGCAAAAAAAAAAGACATTTCTCAAATGAAAGAAAATGATTGTCTTACCTCGCGTAGGTACGTTCGCGGCATGGGGTAAATTTTGTAGTCGTAAGTCCGAACCATAATTAGATACGAGTGTGAAAGCACTGAAACGGTCCGGAACAGGTACGCAGAAGTTTGAGGGAGGATTAGAAGATGCAACACTGCTAGCACTGCTTCCCGGAGCACCCGGACTCCAAGGAGAGGGTGGTAATGTCACGTTCGGGCTACTTGGAGGAGATAGGGTAGCCGGGGGTGATAATGCTCCCACCGGAACTCCTACAGGATCGCTGTGAAGTTCCGGTTTCATGTGCCAAGTTCGCGGTACCGCTTCTGAAATATTCGCATTTCTCTATCAATACAAATTTTCTTCTATAAATAATTCATTCTTATTTAATTAATTAATCGTTTTTTTTTAAATGATTCATTGAATTTACTATCGTTGAGATAGCATATATTATAAAATTGAAAGAATAAGAAATTTGACCAATAGAAATAACACGTTTACGTAAGATTTTAGATTATATTATAACGAATATATAATATAAACTTACAATATAAAATATATTAGAAAATATAATTGAGAACTATTCATCCGACTCTGACAATGGGTTGAGATACTCAACCCGAAGACTGGTAAAAGCAAATGCGTGACGTCACTCGTGATAAATTGACGGAAGACAATCAAACTGGGCTATCTTCCTCGAAGAAGCATCGAAACGTTGCTCGATATCCGAGCCGGTTAATGATAGTCGAACGTTCGGTAAAACCGGTATTCGATACGCTCACGATGACACGAACATTGCAGCCAAGTAAATAAGTAAAGGTGTGCTCATACCTATAGGTATAAGTACACGCGTACACGATCGTTAATTCAACGTAACCCGAAAAATTCAAGATCAGTAATATCTGGACCGAGAGTAATTATCGATAATTCGAATATCTTCTCGAGAGAGGATGGAGAAGTGTTAGCGAAAGGATAACAGGCCAAGAGAAAGTGTAGATCGGAAAGTAAATGAAGAAGGTAGAGAGGAGGAGGAGGAGGTGGTGAGGGGTACAGGGATGAGTTAAAGAATTGACCAATTCGAAATAACTCGACTCAAACCCTTATTTCATATTATCTTATTTCGATAAGATATCGAAACGTTTGTACGAACTTGATATTTGGTTTTTGGCACGAGCGAGCTTTCTTATTAAAATATTATCGAACGTGGCCGACCTAAAAGGAAGTTGGATAAGTCGAGTACATGTATACATTTCTATATATATATATATATATATTCTATATTCTATATATATATATATACGTAAGTCACGATTTACGAGGTTCGATGTTGTAAATTCAATCCCAATTTAAAGGTTCAAGGTGTATGATCGAAAACGAGTATTTCGAGCTTTCCCTTAGGCGCGACGTTAATTCATTTACCATCATACTAATTCGTTTCTCTTTGTAAGATGCTCGTTAAGAACGAAATATGTATTTTTTGTACTTGATACTATAATATCGATTTCTTTTTTTCGGAAGGATAATTATACGATTTAACTGGATAATAACGATACCATACGAGACGTGGTTTTTTTTTTTTTCAAGATTTGTTTTATATAGGATTAAGAGCACAATTGTAAATGACACGATGAACGATCTTTTCATATATTCATCAATGGTGAATGTTTTCTTGTTTTTCTTTTAACATATAAAAATATATAGGTAATCATTTGATAGGTAGTTATTGAAATAGATGGTTCAAATATTTCACAACGAAATTGTTGCAATCTATGAAAAATTTGAGATGCAATCTTTAGTCGAGTGTTATCGTGTAAAGGTATAATCCTATTGAACGGTAAGCCGCGTTTTTTTACGTTTTACACTCATAAAACCTCACACGGAACAAATATAATATTATATAACACTAAGAACTTGACATTTTTGAAAGTTATTTATTTCATATACTTATATCGTAAATAAATAATTAATATTCCTTAACAAATAATAGTATCTAACTAACATTTAGAAAAATTTAGAGAGAGAAAAAAACGAACAAAATATTACACTCATATTGATTTTCAATTAATCGACAATTTTAACGAAAAACTTTAAATAAAAACACGTATCATACGATATAAATATTTTATTAAAAAGAAGAAAAAAAAGAGAGTGAGAGTAAAAAATAGAAAGAAAGAAAATGATTAAAAAACGTATTTAGCATAAATCGGATGACAACGATTAAACGAGGAATGAGTATTATCTATAGTATTTAAAGATAACTCGATGCGTCAACGATTCCCTCATCTACCGCGGTGTATCTACCCCCATTGGTGGTGGTGGTGGTGGTATAGTCGTTCAAAAACAAGCCAACACCTAAGTACTTACATACATACTATATATCGGCCAAACAACGAAATGAATTATATATGTCGCATGGTGTGCGTGCACATCCTGTATCGTCCTAGCTGACTCGTCAGGAGACGAGATTCTAATCTTATGTTAGGTCGACCAGGCGTGATTGCTCGACGAGTGAGAGCATAATAAAACCTGGTGAAAACGTACGTGTTCCTAAACATGCGTGTGTTATACATAATGAACACACGTACGTATTTAAACACATATAAACGTGCATAAGTATATTGCACGTCGTGCGTGCAGAAAATTTCGAGTGTCTCCTAAGCTGTGGTGGGCAGGGTGACCGGGGATTTGCGTCGTGATCGTAACTCGGTAAAAATATAAAAAAAAAAAAAAGGAAAAAAAAAAAGATAAAGAGGAAAAGTTGATCTGTAAAAAAAATGTTGCACTATTTTTCCTATTCACTAGACACGTACTCGGTTGAACGTCATTTTTATAAATAAAAAACTAGACGAATCGTTGGTAATAAACGATTTTTATGATTAACGGTTGGGTAGGAAACCCGTGTAAAAGTCTCGCGTGCAAGATGACAGGATCTATGAGGTTTCATGTGATTCCGGAATATATTTAAAATACTGACGTTCGAGATGATACCTATCGCCATACGTGCTCACGTTCGAACCCAGTTACTCGTTTTAAGCATAGACAATAACCTACGTTCTAAGCTACAAACTTGACAATTTATTATTCTATATCTCAATTCAAATTTGAATATTACAAATAGATATACAATTTACACATACGTATTTATTTATGTGTAATTACATATGATCGAATAATGAAAAGTATGTCAAAGACGTTCTATCGTTTTTACTGAACGAATAATAAAGATTTATGTATCAATTATACGTATCGACGCTTTTTTCCCCCTTTTAAGAATTACCATTTTTTTTTTTTATTTATTTCTATTTTTATTCTATCGTACTTAACAATGATAAGAATGCACGCGTGATCGTTTTCAAAGTCTAATTAGACTAAAATATTCAACGGGACTGCGTTGCCTCGCATTAAAATGATCGAAATAGTATTATTGACAAAGTGGATACAGAAATGTTTTCTTTTATACGTTTCTTCGAAAAATTCTTTTATATAAATTAAGAGTATACGAACAATGGATAAACAAACAATTATCAAAAGATGGTATTTGACAAAATTATCGTAGAAATTTTTTGATAACAAACAAGAAGAAATTTAAGTATCATCAATTCAATGATTATACGTAAGTATTTAAGTATTATAAGTATATGTAATTACACAAAGAAGGTGTAAGACGTATATAATCTCTTATAAAGAAATTCTTTGGCCTCGTTTAAAACAACTGGCTTCAAATATTATAAATATTATTACCATTGATCTAATCGTGATTGAAATCTTGTTTGATTTTTATATATATATATATTATTTTTTTGTTAATTTCTCTTCTTTATCTCACCGATTACTCGTGAGCCGCTTAATTTGTTTGAATGAAACTAAACGATCTGTTCTATTTTGACATTTGGAAGATTTTCTTTCATTACATTTAATTGGATGCCGTTGTTAACTAATTATCATAAGAGTTGGGACAAATGTGTGTTCTGCATTTGCGATAATATCTGCTTGAAGAGAGTGTTATGGCAACGATTATCATTATCATCATCATTGTCATAATCATCATCATCATCATCATCATCATCATCATCATCATCATCACAACCAACATCATCATCATTATCACTGTGTCATACGATATTTACGCAATCGCAATTATTAATCCGCCTAGTGAGCATGTTACAATTGTGTTTATAGTATATACATATATACATATAACTCAATTATGGTTTACAAATAATTACTACGTAGGAGAAGAAAAGAGAGAGAGAGAGAGAGAAAAAAAGGAAGAAAAATTGTAACAACTGATCAAACACTACGATATATTGCATAGTTGTAAACGATCGAGCATGATCAAGAAGTAAAAGAAAGGAAAAAAAAAAGACAAAAATATAATAAAACTTTCAAGGTTTTTTTTTTTCCCCGAACGATAGCAATCGCATAACATACTCGTATGTGCTTTTATTCGATCATGCATTAGAGAAAAAAAAAAAGAAAAAGAGGAAAAAAAAAGCAATAATCATTCTAATCGCTATATTAAATATCATTCATTTTGAATAAATCTGTGTGAAGATTTAACCGACTGCATTCTTGCATAAAAGATAAGTATAAGTAAAATAGTTTTAACGAGTCGTCGATTGATTTGCATAGATAGAGTCTTTCATTAATACCGAATCATACATTATTGTTACCGGATATGCTAATTATTTACGAGATTATATACGCATATATTTAAACCCGTTGCAACGTTGCTAAAATGAAAAAAAAAATATATATTGGTATATAGCATATCTATCATCTGTAAAAGTATTTTACCAAACGGATTTCATCGTTTGTGATGCATCGAACATTTAAATGTAACTTATTATAATTTGAATTACATCCTTCTGTAATTCTATCACACGTTATATACCTTTTAGTTCATTTTTATTTTTGCATAATTTATAATACACGCTGCGATAATGTTAGAAAATAAAAACAAACTGCATTTTAATACAAAATATCTTAACGCTTAATCAATTTAATGAAAAAATAAGAGAAACAAAAATTTTAATCAGAATACAAACATTTCTAACCGTTTCAATTCATACTTAAGTAAACACGTGTTTAAGTAAGCACTCACATACATTAAAAACACTTTATCGCAAATTGGTGCGAGTTAGCAAAGCTTTTGAAGGAGAGAAAAAAAGAAAAACACGAAAATGAATAAAAATCTGGATTGGAGGAGTGTATATGTGTGTAAATAAAAACGACTAACATGTGTGGCTTCGAGTGAAAAAATAAAAATGAAGAAAAGAAAAAAAAGAAAAAGAAAAAACGGAAACATCCTCGGTAAATGTTAATAACGATACGATTGCGTTATCGTTTGATGAATATTCATGGAAATCTCGAAATAGTCATGAATCGGCTGGGATTGATAGGAACTTATTGACACTGCGACGCTCGTTAAATAGGCCGAAATTTGTTTACCCAAGTGTTGAGAAGATTTTTAGGGAAAGTTTTTTTTTCTTCTTTCTTTCTTTTCTTTCCTTTTTGTTAAGAGTGCACGGAAGAAACGAAATATCGAAAAAGCAGAACGCAACGATGCTATGAAATTTTAACGTTACGCAACCGTAAAAAACAAAAATCTAAATTTTAAACATAAACTCTTTACAATTTTTCATTTACGAGCTACTAAATTATCAAGAAAATAATACATAAGTATATGCATGTTATATGATAGAAAATGACTAATACTAAACGTTACCAATTAACGATGACTTGCTTTTTACGTATTAGCACAGACGCGTTTCGTTTTATTCGAAAATTTTCTTAATAATTGATGCTACCACGTGACTTTCGCGAAAAGATAGCCGGTTATATTTTCATTTTTCTAATACGTGTTTCGTTAACTAGGAAAAATAGTTCAATATTGTTACATTTGTTTTAAATCAAATGACAAATTTTGGTGTTTTTAACAAAATTTCTAATAAAACTCTCAATTTATTTCAATGCAATAATTACGAATAAAAAATTCATTATCATACGGAACAACGAAATAATAATAATAATAGCAATAATTAAACATTGAAATTTGATTTATAATAATGCATGCACATTATGAACTACGACTACCGACAATTTCTTCATTAGCCTCCCCCCCACCCTTTATTAAATTATTATTTATTTTTTTTTAAACGGTAATACTCATTAATAAAAAATCATTACTTACCACACATCACGTTCCTAATCGCAATGGCAACGTAAACGTCAACTTGCTACGAAATCAGGGCTTCTTCTTCTTCTTCCCTCCGTTCATGTAGAAAAGTTGAACGATCGTCCAACTACTACCTGCTTTCTCTCTCTTACACTTCTCCCAGAAATTATAGAAACCAGTTTTCCAATGGGTGGGTGGTATGGGTGTTAAAAATATATATTTAACCAAAGTATCCTTGACTTCTTTTTTCTTCTTCTTTCTTCTTCTTCTACTTCTTCTTCTTAATCCTTTCCTTTAGAAATAAAACGATACCCCTCTATGGTAGAGAGAGAGAGCGAGAGAGAGCGAGAGGGAGAGAGAGAGTTACCACGTGGTTGACCCAGGTCAGGCCAATTTGTCCAATTGACAAGGACAATTAAACGTAAGACGAAACGTATCGAATAATACATACAAAAAAAGAAATGTTATTATTATTATTATTATTAATATTGATCTAACAAACACCCGAAATAAAAAACTTCGTATCTATCTTCTATTTTTTGATGATACGTCGTAGAAAATGACAATCGAAGAAAAAATGTAGAGAAAGATGAAAATAATAATAACTAATGGATTTTGATAATAACGAAGACAAAATTGACAACTGTCTGTCTGATCTATCGAAATCGTTCTTTCTTTCTTTCTTTCTTTCTTTCTTTCTTCCTCTTTCTCTTTATTTTTCTTAGATTCGTCACCCGGTTTCGTCCGCGTACGCAAGATATTGGAGTGTCCTGGCTAAGAGCAGGACCCTGACTGACCCCGGTGAGCCCGCGGAGGGTACGAACGGTCTCGCATAGTGGCGTGCGCGCCGGTAGCTTCCCCTTACCTGCTCGGGTTTCTCTCTTCTCACCTGCGCACCCGTGCGTGTCTTCATGCGTGTATATACACGTAACATACATATGTAAGACACGTATACGCACACGACACACGAGTTATCCAAAGACCACGCCTACCACTCTGCTACGAGCTTTTCAACGGGACGAGACTTTGATAGTAGAAGGGGCAGACAATTTCTCTCTCTCTCTCTCTTTCTTTCTCTTTTTTTTCTCTCTTTTTCTATCCTTTGATGGATGCACATTTGATTCCTCCACATTTGCATAAGTGTCTCTACTCTGTTCTCTTTCTCTCTTTCTCTTTCTCTCTCTTCCTTTTTCTTTTTTCTATCACACATATACGATTTTAAATTAGTCTCCCCATGCTAGCGAAAAGAGAAAAATATAAAACATATATATTCACCACCTTCCGAGTATTCGTTGGAAAGTTTTTTTATTTTTTCAATTACCGTGATAGGAAAAATCATAGGTCACATCGGGATTGACCTATTCGATCTATCGAAAAGAACTATACGAATGTTGTCATTGATTTTTGAGAGATTTTTGCCTAGTGTTAATTTTCGAATTGTAATATTTCGAATTAAATCGTACAACAAATTTTACTTCTTCGTATTCATTTGTTTTAGGAAAAAAAAAAGAAAAAAAAAACTAGAAGAAGATAAAATAGAGAAACACGTGTCATAATGCATTGTTTCAATGTCATCGAATATAATTATAATTCTTATTCCCCGACGAGTAGTCGTAAATAACATTTGTATGACAATTTACAATTTAAAATTTCAAGAACGTAAACTTCAATCGGATATCTATTGAAATATGTCGACCGTAGTTATTTTTAGTATTTATTTGATTTGTTGTTTTGTGTGGTTGTTTCTTTTTTTTTTTCTTTCATACGAAACCGTGAAAAGAATGAAATTAATTTCGATTTTGAAAGATAAGTTTGAAAAATGAAGGTAATCTCGATGATTAATCAGCCCTCTGTCGTTTTCTTTAATCGTTTTCCTTGATAAGTAACTGATTGATTCGAAACGGTACATCGAGAGCAATGATGATCGTTCAATTACGTTTTAAAAATAACGTTACGACGGAAGCATGCCGGCGTTCTTTTCCTTGTAAAGATCGTCGACTCATCGAGATTCATCTTGAGCACTCAATCGACATATATTATATCGGAGAAAGGTAGTACCCGAAATCGTGAATGTTGTTGGTTGACCCACCACCAGGATGATCCCGAGCGGAACAGTAATATCTTTCTTTATTTATACCCCATATCAATACCCTAAATTTTATTCATTTCAAAACTAAATCAATCGGAATCGTTTCAATCGAGAATTTGAACAAAATTATGGCAAATTATTGGACGAAAAAAAAATCAAATCAAATGAAAACAAAATGACAAATGAAATTAAAAATTAGAAAACATGCAATGGCGGGTTTCTATTGAAGAGGTAGTAGAGAGAATCCATCTTGAATACATTTCATCTCTTGAAGCTGATCGGCCCACCACACCAATGAGCATGAGCACGACCAGGAGACGTCTGTAGAGTATGTGTGTGCGCGCGCACTCAAGATCCGCGAGCAGATTTGATTCGGCAAAGCGTGCTGGTGACGGCGGTGGTGGTGGTGTTGCAGTAGTGTGTTGGTGGTGGAGGTGGTGGGTTTAGTATAAGAAGTAGGAGAGACAGAAGTGCGTCGGCGCTGTAACGCACAGTAAAAGAACCACAGAAACAAGGCCGCCTCCTTGTTACCGGACCGCCTAGTTTTAGATTTAGATCCCACCTTCCTTCCTTATTCGATCGTCTTTCCCCTCATACAAACCTTCTTTCTTATAGCAATCTAAATATTTCACTATTTATGTCTATCTAGTATAAATGTATTATACAATAATCTAATATCAACACAGTTACGAGAGTATGCAAATAGTATAAGTATGCGTTATATTAAATGTAAGTGTTTTAAGTATATCTTAAAATGTACCTAATATTACTAAGGAATTGTTTTATATTGCATATATTGTATCAGCATTATAATAATCTCTTACAATAGTCTTTAACTTGATTGTTAAATACTATGATATATAGATAATTAATCATTAACTTTTCTATCCAAAATTATATATAATGGTAAATATGTCCCTTTTTTTTTTTATCGTTATTTGGTATCATCAAAAGCAGTAGCTATGTACAAACTTCGACATATAACTGGCACAATACAACGACGAAATTACCATCGCAATGGGACGAACTGGTGGAAAACTAGGTGAAACAGCTGTGAGAACAATACTCATCGTTTATAGCTCAGCTCTTTTTCTTGCCCTCTTCCAGCCGTTCGTCCAGTATTGCTCATAGTCTAACTCGTTTCATCTGGCCTTCTTCTTCTTCTTTTTCTTCCTCTTCTTCCTCTTCTTTCTCTTCTTCGTCTTCTTCTTCCTGGCTTCCACCACTTCTTCCTTCTTTTTTCACCTCCTTCCTCGAGGTTACTTTACATCGAGGTTACGCGATACAAAAGTGTGTGTGTGTGCGTGTGCGTGTGTATGTGGTTATAGAAGCACTGCAGGTGCACTTACCTGCTGGTCTCTCTCGTTAATGTTTCGTCGTCAACGTTCAACGTCAAAGACATAGTCGACTACGATTACGTTCATAGATTATTATGTAAGTTTCACTTATCAAAACTTCAAGCAATACTTACTTGCTGCTGCCCCATCGTTATCGTTTGATAACAATAAATGGTATTTTCTAAATTTACAAAACGTCTTAATAGTTTTCTTATTCAATGATTTTCAAAATTAACAACGAAAAACAATCGGTTAGTAAATTTTTTCCTTTACTAATGTGAAAAAAATTCAGAAAACCAAAAACGAATAGACAACACCGTGAAAATTAGTCATAAAGATTCTAATCTAACGTTACGTAAAACATGGTTATCGATGTTTTTTTTTAAATAACGCTATAAATATTTTTACGGACTAGATCAAAAATTTTTCGATATAATCTTAGTTAAAACGTTATATTTGTTATTTGTTTTATGGGAAATTGATGATGATAATAAATAAAACACGTTCATAGGTACGAGAATTTTGTTATCATTTTTTTAACATTTTACAAAAATTTATTATTAAAACTGGACAAAGTCCATTTATTTATCTAATTAAATATGTATGCACTATAAACGATTGTCAATCATTTTTCAATACACCGTTTTATGTCGGATAGTTATAAATTGTCTGACAACTAACGATAAGATGAACAAAAATGTCCCGACAACGGTTGACAGTTTTATAGAGAATATAAATACTTTTAAGTTTAACAAGTGCAAATGTTAAGATTCTAAATGATTTAACGATCAGTCGTTAACTTGTTAGGAAAAGAAAAGAAAATAAATGGCGCATCGATTTCAACAAAAATTTATTGCAAAAGAATTTTTACCAAAAATCCTTAAAGTTTCTTTATTCGAAATACAAAAAATTTGTAAATGGGAGCAGTGCAGAATGAACAAAAAAAAAAGTGAGAAAGAGATTGACTCTCGCTTTTTCTTATCTCACACGCATGTTGGCTTTTATACCTAAAAGTAAGTATATAAATGTATGTGCTTGTGTGTGTATATCTGTTTGTATGTGAAAAGATTAAAAGTGGTTAGTATAGAAAAGAAGGAGAACAGTAAAAAAGAAAAGTTTTCGTTTCGCCGCAAAAAAACTTTCTCGCCATTCAATTGAACCAGAAAGGATACAATTTTATATATCTTTCTCTCTCTCTCTCTCTCTCTATCTCTTTTTCTTTTTCTTTTTGTCATTCTTTGTCGAAAAAGTCTGAATTTTTGTATAACGTTTCACGAGTCTTTATTTACATATACACTTACTAATAAGTTACTTTGCATATTCGATCTTACATTGAATTTTATCTACTTACTTTGTGATGTCAGACATGATAAGTTGTTACAGTACGTCTTACTAATTGTAAGAATAGTCAAAAAAAAAAAAAAAAAGTATCTTCCGTAACCCAGTGTGTCAATTTTTTTCAGAACTCCTAAAATTAAAAAATACACATATGTTAATGAAAAATACCACATTTAATTTTTTATTCGTGCACGCGCGCGAACGAATGTATTTATTATATTATTTATTAGTTATACTCGTAAAAAAAAAAAGGAATTTCTGCGGATATGAAAAAGAAAAGAAAAGAAAAGAAAAGAAAAAAGTAACCAACGTATCTTTCGAGCTATGCGTGATCCAGTTGTCCTGCCCACCTTCATTCGAGGTCTTCGAGATCAACCGACTCGATTCCGGCCAGTTTTCGTAATTCACGGGAAGTTTCGCAATCTTCAGAAACGACTGTAAAACACCCGTAGACGCCCACCGTGCTGATTCTTTTGGACTCTTTACTCTTCATCTAGAATACCTTCTTAAAGAAGGATGACTCTCCCCGTAATAGCCGGATATTACTGTAAGGATATCACCTTTTGTTCCCTTTTCATTCTTTTCTTTTTTATCTTTCTCTCACTTTTGATAACACCATTCGAATGTTGAGGTCTGCCTTTTCTCTCTTCAAATTTATTTCAAATAAATGTTAAATAAGTAAATATCAAAATATTATAGAGCTTCTTTTATTTTTGCTAAATTTATTAACTACACAGAGAAAATAATTACTATAATAAAATTATACTAATATCGAAAAAGTCTAAAAGTAGAATTAATAGATTAGTTTTTATTATAAAAAATAATACTTAAAAAGATTCACATTTTTTTCTGTCTCTCTCTCTCTTGAAACAATTAAGATAATTAGCAAGAGAAATCGATGGGTATGCCTAAGTATAATACTCACTTACCAATGTGCATATCAAAATATCAAAGTACATACCCTATATTCTTATTATGGAAATCACTTGTGAGCTTAAGGCATAATTAACCAAGTATACCGTCTTAATTATGGTTAATTATACAAAAAGAGGCCGCAATGAAATGAACACTTAACCATTGCTTTTGGTATTTCATTGGCACGAGCTACGAACCTTGCATTGAATCATGCTTTCTCTCTCTTTCCCATTCTGTCTTCCTCGCTTACTCTATCAAATTAAATGAAATTATTTTTTTTATTTTCTTAAACGAAGGTTAAAATCGGTTCGCAAATAAATACGACGAATAAAAAGAGGGTCGTTTCTCGATGGGAAACTTCAATTGCAGGTGCAAGTAAGAATGCCTAATAAGCGTGGTCTTGGACAAGTAGTAGGAAAAGTGGGAGAAGATTGAGAAGGTGATGCCAGGACGATTCGTGACTCTCTTTTGAAAAAGTCTCAGTCAACTAAAGAACCAAAGAGAGAGAGGAGTAATTAATGAATATTCGTAATTACCGTACGATCAAAAAAACGAACGAACGAACGGACAAGTCAAAGATGCTGACACCAAGAACACACGAATCGCATGTCACCTTCAACATTTCCCGTTAAGAAAGTTACGCTCCTGTTACATCGAAAAAAAAACATAAATATGTATCTACATACAAGATCATATTCATATTTATCATATTATACTTAAAAGATAAGATATAGGTAAGAGGTATAAATTTCATAATAATTGCATGGAACGATATTATAAGTCTCAAGAAATATAAATTATTAGATTGTCTTGTGATTTTTGGATTTTTACAGCTTAGTTAGTTGACTTTTAAAGGAAAAATTTAAAAAAAAAGATATATATTTATTTGATTCTTTAAAAAAAATTGGCATAAATAAATGTGGATAAATCGGTGGGTTAAGAGAATTTATCAAAAGTAACCGAATAAAAATGACTGCTAAAAAATATCTATGATTTAGATACGATGAAAATCCGTAGACTCCTTAATCAAATTCGTTTTGTTAGATTCGATCTTTTGGAATTGGTCATTATGCAAAGAAGAACCCACAGATGGGTTTATTTTTAGAGGAATTTATCTACGGTTAAAATCTCATGAAGAACGTGCGTTCGTTACACTCGCGTCCGAGCACTGTTCTTCTACCGGGTTTGACGAACCGAAAGATCCGTTGCACGAAATCCTTCCTCCCTCATTTCAATTTGTAATTTTTTATTTGTGCACGAACCCTCGGCGGGGGCTGGCCACCTGCGCTCTTCTTTCGTAGCCAAGATTAAGTGGTTTCGTTAATCTTAATCCTTAAGAAATGCAGATACGCGAACGCACGAGAATTCGTTTTTCGATACGAAAATCCTTATTTTATTTTATTTTTTTTTCACAAATTAGACTGAAATTATATAATTAATAGGAACACGAAAGGGCAACTATCAAAAGTCGCAAGATCAAAAGACGCGTTTAGACTTCATTTTATAACCTCGCCCATGTTTTTTTTTTTCTTTTCTTTTATCTTCTTTTTTTGTCGTTAGACTACTTCAGAAAACCACACAATAGGACGAAATAGAAAATTACCCTAGGCTCCCCCCTAATATTATCTTCCCCGTCTTATTATTTGAATTACCGTTCAAACTTCACTATAATAGCCTCTTCCCTATTTCCGATCATTAGAAATACCTATATTTCACTTTACAAAAGGGCAAAACAATCACAAATTGGACATAAATCAAAGTTAAAAAAATATAATTGGTAACGTGCGAAGAAAAAAAAAAAACAAAAATAAATACAAATACATTTGTTAATTTTAATTTTAATTCGTGACAATTTTAGAGGTAAAAGAAAGAATGAAATTAAATGAGTATCAAAAGTCAGCAATCGTGTGCGACCGGTCAGATGGGAAGGTGTAGGGAAGATGCACCCACGGATGCATCGAGCGGAACGCAGCTAACACAGGCGGCCGAGTTTGTGCGCGCGTCCAACACCACCACCACCACCACCACCATCACCACCACCACCACCAACACGTCCGCCTTCTCTTCTTCCCTTTATGGGCAATAGGCGGATCGTCCATTGGCGTATAACGCCAATCTTATATTTTTTTTTTGTTCCTTTCTTTTCATTACTCTATGATGCCGGACACCACATGTTATCGCAGAAGGTTAACTTATAACTACGATTCGATCTACCGATTTTCGCTTAAATCCAAAACAAATTTATTATATCTCTCGTGTTAGATTTTTATTTGGTTACTCGTACGATATGTAAAAATTAAAAAAAAAGATAAAATATCTCAAAAAATAATAGAAAAATATACAAAATTGCAGTATAAGTAAATTGTTAAAATAGATTAATAATATTTTATTTTATATGTAATTTCTATTTTTTTTTTTAAATAAACAAACAAGAGCCAACTAAACATTAAAAATTTACATAGAGAACCGACGGCTCACGT